ATATATATATATATATATATATATATATATATATATATATATATATATATATATATATATATACATAAATGAGTTTTAAATGTTTACATTCTCGTTTTCAAAAAAAAATGCGCGCGCAAATTTGTAGGTAGAAAAAAAATTAATCGGAAATTTTCAAGTAAAAACATTTAGACATTTATGTTAAATTTATTCACTGATTGTAATTTATTCACTGATTCACTAATTTAACAAGAAATAAATTATGCCAACCAGTTGTTGTGCAGTTCGTTGTTCAAACAAATTTAAAAAAGAATGTGGATTAAAATTTTATAAATTTCCATCGGGAAAAATGCCTTTTGAGAAAAGAAGGCGATTAGACTGGATTAAAGCTATTAATCGTAAGGATTGGGACAGTTGGGAAAGTGAAAAGATTAGTAAAGAACGAGTATGCAGTGCACATTTTGTATCAGGTATGTTCTTTTAATGAATGAAGTTAGCTAATAAAACTATATACGTAGTAATACGTTTAATAAGATTCTTTAAATTAGTAATTTATAATATTTGGTACATTTATTAATTCAATTAAATATTATATTTTATTATAATATTTAATTTAATTATTATTTAATTAAATATCATAATTGTTATACTTTAAGGAAACGTTCTGATGACCCATCTACGTCGACTGGAGTCCATCTGTATTTAATCACCTTGGAGATGCTACGATTTCTAGTTTGATTAAAAAAAGGAAGAGAAAAGATTGCTATAAAGCTTTATGTAAAAAACGATATTTCAAAAACTCAATACTGCCATCTAGCCAATCAAATGATATAGAGCTTGATAACTATAAAGATAATATAAATAATGACATAACTTCATTAAATGACAAGTCAGCTATTTCGATGATTCGATTAATCGATGCAAAAGGGAGGGGGGGGGGTTACAAAATATTGATTGTAACTAAGATATAATATGAATATTTTTTATAAAAGTGTATTTATTCTTATAAGCTGGTAATTTTTTATTAACACACAACCTGATTTTTTATTAGAATACGTCTTCGGTAGATAAAATTGTGAAAACTGATAGAAAATCACAATTTTTCTGGAGTTTCTAGAAAAAATGTAGGTAGCCATAATAAATTGTCATACGACTGTATTTGTTTTTACTCTGCAATATGATTTTTAATGCAATTTATTTTTAAGAATGAGTAAAATGCTATTTATTTTTTCTTTTTTAGTGCCATCATCATCGGCTCGAACCAGTAACTTTGTAGAATGATCTTAAATTATGAGTTTTTTTATCTTTTTATCTTGTGTTATCTGTTATCTAATATTAGATGATATTTGTTAAAAATAAATTTCATTTTAGTTCTTACTTATGAGGACTACTGCAAGTATAGGTCCCACTACCCTGGTCCTCTCTCTAACGCTTCTTTTGTTCGTTGGTTGCGTTGTGGGGGTGGGGGGAAACAGGTAATCCTTTGGGTGGTTTTGTCAACCCCCATATTTCAGCGGTGGGACCAATCAGAAAAGAGGAAGCAGAAGAGGAGGCAGAAGAGGAGGCAGAAAGGGTGGATTAGCAAATGTGTATGTGCAATGCTAGTCCACCTGCTTCTTTTGTTTTTATGTAAATATATTTTTAACTTATTTATAACTAATTAGTTATCAACTATATGCTGTAATGTTGCCAATGTTTCATTAAAATGTATTTTTTTAGCTCGCAAAAGAGAAGAACTAGATAGATATATCTTAGTGGAGTTATAAATTTGTTTTTTTTTTATTTTTTTTTTATCAAATAAAAATAATTTCAAAAACGTTTTTTTAGCTCAAAGAAAGAAAATTCTTGGTAGGATTTCTATTGTTGTAATAAATGCTGCATTAGTATATATATGATAAATTGTAATATATTGTAAATTGAGCTAAAAAAGAGTTATACTTTTTATTCATTTAGCTGCCGGACAGCATTTACTGCAGACCGGTATTTACTTTGTTTCTTTCTTTGTTTAAAGAAAAAATTATAAATAGGTTAACACTATTTTATCAACGTCATCACTGCCATCTGGCGCCCAAAATGCAAACCAAGACCTCTTCGGTAAGTCTTTTACTGTGTTTTAACTTTTGTTTTTCATTTTTCAAACACTAATTTCATTTTTTTTTTGATATAGGATTGTCTAGGAATGATTTCTTGGTTTAGCGCCGAAGCCACCCTGGGCCCAAATCAAAAAGGGCCTTCCGCATTAGAGCCCAGAATGGAGGTAAAGACCTGCCCCATTTTAAATACAACCCTCCTGGTGGCAGAAGGGATAGTAGAATGTAGTTATTAACAACTATTCATACACTTATCTATAAGTTTATATAGATTCACTTAGCTGAATCTATATACACTTATTGATAGGTGTATGTATAGTTTGTGTGTATATATTTATTAAGTTGATATCTCTATATAATCTTTTTGTATATTTATTTTTGTATAAAGTATGAAGATGAGAAAGTAATGAACTTAAAGTAATGCAATAAGA